AAGTGATGCTGGTGACTGTCGCTGGGTGGGGAGGTGGTGCTGATGACTGTCGCTGGGTAGTGAGGTGGGGCTGGTGACTGTCCCTGGTTGGGGATGTGGGGCTGGTGACTTTGGCTGGGTGGTGAGGTGGGACTGGTGACTGTCGCTGGGTGATGAGGTGGTGCTGATGACTGTCGCTGGGTGGTGAGGTGGGGCTGGTGACTGTCGCTGGGTGGATAGGTGGTGCTGGTGACTATCGCTGGCTGGGGAGGTGGGGCTGGTGACTGTCGCTGGGTGTAGCAAGGTGGGGCTGGGGACTGTCGCTGGGTGGAGCAAGGTGGGGCTGGTGACTGTCGCTGGGGGGAAAAGTGGTGCTGGTGACTGTCGTTGGGTGGGGGGGTTGGGCTGGTAACTGTCGGTTGTTGGTGAGGTGGGGCTGGTGACTTTGGCTGGGTGGGGAGGGTGGGCTTGTGACTGTTTTTGGGTGGTGAGTTGGGGCTGGTTAATTTGGCTAGGTGGCGAGATGGAGCTGGTGACTTTGGTTGGGTACAACAAGATACAAGATACAAGAAACTTTATTTAACGTCGCATACAGGTAAACAAAGGGAATTAGCTCTTGAGAGCTATTTTTGTGACAAACATATGTAAAAATAACAAAAACATATTATATTACAAGTAAAGGGAGATAATCACATATATTAATAAAAAAAAACCCAGTAATAATCATCACAGAAAAAGAAAGGATACATATCACAGATTTCTAAGTGATTGGGAGTCCCCTACCTACAAAGACCCCCGGGACATATATATAAAAATAGTGTTAATGTACGAAAAGCATTAAATGTGGTCACATATAAGTAGTATTCAAAATAGGTAAATAAAAGAGTTAAGGATCCTCGTCCCTCCGCCTAAAAATGTAATGAGGCATTTTTTTTCTTCTACGGCATAGCTATTGCATAACAAAATAATTTCTGAACAAAATCCCATATCTTGCGGGAGTTTCTTAAGATTTTTTGGGAAATTATGAAAAAAAATATTTGAAAATGAAACAAAATACATTTTATTTAATGCAACGATGGTTTATTAGAAATATAACACATGAAAAATAATAACAATGTCAATATTGTTGAACAAAACACAAAAAACTGAGTAATTCTCTAACAATAATACATTGTACTAAAACAAACAAAAATGCTCATTACATGAATCGATAAAATTCCTAGTGCCAATGCATCACGTTTAGGACAACGAAAATAAAGTATAGGTGACAAAAAATAAAAATCTTGCGGACTTGCTTATTATACAAAAAATTTAAAGATACAAAAAAACTAAACAAAAAAGAGAGACAACTCTTCCATTTGTACCAATAATAATTCTAAATCCCAAAAAGTCATATATACAATTTACAACATAAAATAGGGCACTTTAAATATAATACAGTGGGCAACCAATCAATAAAATTACTAAATAACCAATATAAAACAAATTGCACATTGTGTATGAATAACATTATAACAATGTACTTTACTGTGTCATAGCAAAAATGTCACAATGAACAACAATAACAAAGTTCCACATACTTTACACAATAATAATAAATTTCTACATAATGTACAAATAACATACTATATAGCATTAATACACTGTCATTATATATAGATAACAACAAATATTGTAGTTTAACAAATATCACACTATACAACAATAATAAACTTTTACATTATGTACAAATAACAACATACGATATAATGGTATAAAATATCACATTGTAAACATAACAATGTTGTATGTAATATAAAAAAACCTAACCCTAACTTGAAAAATAGGCATATTGGGCATATAATCCTGACTATTGTGATGTCGTGTGATACATTTACTTGTGTATAAAATACTTCACAGGCCAAAATGTCTCTCCTGTTGGCTATTGCACAACCGTAGCCTAGTACCGCATTCCTTACAACCTTTCTGGTCCAGATATTCAGATAACACCGCGAGTTCAAACACTCGTCTATCCTGCGAACAGGTTAAAAAGTTATTGGCGTAGTCGTGATCACTAGTACTGAACAACGGACATCGTTGTCGGCTCATCAGTAAAATTCCAGTAGTAGGGGCCTCAGTAGTCAGCGTCTCTTCAATCTGTGAAAGAGTGTCACTTTGTTTCGTCGCATAGTCGTGGTCTAGCAGTTGATATTGGACATCGTTGTTGTTATTATTATTGTCAGTTAATGCGTGTAGTTTATATCTAAAACGGCCGATTTGGCGTCGGGCTTGCATGTCGGCCATCACTGCCACGATGTTGTTTACATCGTTACGACAACTTTTTTGCCAACACTTTTGCGATTTGAGATTTTCAACGCAAGGGACACAACTCTGTAGTCGAAACGTTATTCAAACGAAATCTATTCAAGGGAAGATAACAACATTGTCAAAATGGTAATCAGGGGCAGTTGACTCTAACACTAAACAACGACAGTGGAATTCTTAGTGTTTTGCTCTGGCTGGGACGGGGATCCTTAATAGTGAATGAATACTTGTATATCATACAAGAATTACTTAGGACTTAGGATTAAAACACTATGAAGTGGAATATACATAAAATGCTAATATAGCAAAGAATAAAAATTGACAGAATATACACTATTACAGTGTGAATTAAACATGATACCGAAATCAATTAACAAAATTTATCAAGTTTTGTAAAAAAAAATATTTCATGGAATTAAAATAAAATAAGAATAGAATTAAAACAAATAAGAAATGAGATAAGACAATAACAGTATCAAACAATCCAAAATGTCAGGTGGCAGAGGTAACTAGGGCACAGTATGAAGTATCACTCTTTGCAGGTATTGCAAAGGCAGATGGGGCCATCCCAGGAATGGACCAGCCTCCTGAATTCTTTGAAGTTTTCAACTTTTCTGAAGTCATTTGGGAGACTGTTTCACACCCGGGCGGCCTCAAAAGCAAACGATTTATGTCCATACTTCACAATGTTGACCCTGGGCACCTCTGCAGTATTTTCTTTCCTGAAGTCATAATTAGACATCATAATATTTACAAGATTATGAATATATTCAGGAGAAATTTTGTTTATAATTTTAAAAACCTCACAACCCATTTCCTTCAGACGCCTTATATGATCCCTGTCGCTGTTGGTAATACTGGGTAAGTGTCTGAAGGATGAGTTCTGATCATTATGTATAAACCTTAAAGCTCTTTCTTGTATCTTTTCGAGCTTTCTGACACTCTTCATGGAACAAGAGTGCCAGACTTTAGGACAGTAGTTAAAATTTGAAACAATAAATGAATTATAAATTACAAGTCTACTTTGTTTGGTTAAAAAAACTCCCAATTCGCTCTAAAATGGACAATTGCCTTGAGGCTTTCCTACAAATTTCAGAGATATGACCTTCAAAGTTTAAAATTGAATCAAAGTTCACACCTAAAAGTTTGACAACACTGTCAGGAACAATATCTATTTCGCCAATACTAAAAGACTGTATAGCAACTACCGAACGTTTCCCTATACAAATGGCCTGGAATTTGTCAGGGTTTGCTTTCATCTGTAATGAAGTGACGTGGATATGGGGTGTGGTTGCTAAGGAAATCCGCCGTCTTGGATCTAATATGGCGCCCTAGCAACCCCCATGAACCTACGGCCCCATATCTACGTCACTTCTGCAATGCTTGACAGACCTGGGTTTTCTCTTTTCTTTTCTCCTATTTTTCTGCTTTTTTAATCATGTATTTTCATTTTCCTTAATAATCTTATGCATAAAACAAATCTAAAAACAACAAATAGTTACAAATGCGTTATTTACAATATAAAATCCACGGGATATTTACAATGTTTTCCAGTGTGGTATTAAACTAAGATGAACTTATTTTTCGTGTAGGAATTGAGTGGGTCGGTGCTGTAGCAGGTGGTATTGCGTCCTTGTTTGAACTAAAAATAATAGTTAACCAGTAGACAATTAACAATAACACATTAGCTAACGGTATAATAAAAGAATGAGGTAAGTGATTCTATTGACAATATACCTACAGGGTAGCGTGTAATACTGAATACTGGCCGCTTGCACGTCGTTGTCTATGCATTCTTTGGCGATGTTGTTTCCTAATGCGCTCCTTGTCGTTTGATATGTTTTGTCGTTCCTTCCTGTACATGTCTGCTTGCCATTGTATTAATTGGTGATGACGGAGGAAGTCGGATAGACTGTAGAAAAGTGTGTCGTCTGAACTTGTCAGAATCGTACGGGAAACTTTAGATGACGTCACGGTCGTCGAACGCGTCAGGCGCTCAAGTCGCAGAGGTTAGAACGTTAGCGTACGGGGTGTGTGGTCGCGGGCTCGATGTGCGTCGTTGTCATTTTTTTTTTTTTAAGAGGTTTGAGACTAAGGTAATATTAATAGATAAATAGATAAATAAATCAATATGAAAGAATGTATTTTGAGACTAAATTAAAACAAATACGAAATAATCTTTTTTGATGTAAAAATATGCAGATACTGCTGATTCTGTATTGTATTTTGTACTTGTTTTGTACACATTTGTCCATATTGTTTTTTGTCCTTATTTTGTACACATTCGTCCGTATTTGTCCACTTTTTGTACACTATTTGTCCACTTAAAGGCCCTAGTGGAAGGGGATGTGCAGACGTGGGTTCGATGCGCGTCGTTGTCATTTTTAATCTTTTTTTTTTTGTATAGAATCCTTCATACTATTATCGGAATGTTCGATTTGTAACGAGGTTTTTTTATTGGCTATTTTAAAACAAGTGTTATGATTGGTTATTAATTATAACAAGGCTTATGATTGGTTCATTTTTAGTCACAAAACTTGAAGGAAGCAATAAACTCTATGAATGCATTAAGTCTGCAGTCAATAAGATTCATATGATGTTGTCAAACTCTCCATACACTAGCCGTACGAGAGAAAGAAAATGTCGTCAAAACGGCAAAAAGATTACCTGAAGAAGATCTGGTACGATCCTAAACACGTTGCCGGTATTTCGGGCCATTCGAGTGTGTATGCGTTCGTCCGAAAAGAAGGAAAATTTAAGATCAGTCTTCAAAAGAGAACCGACTGGTTGCAGAATCAAGACCCCTACAGTGTCCGAAGACAGGTTCGAAAAAAGACATTAAAGAACACAACGAAGGCACGTGGTTCTTGCTCGTTGTCATAGATCATTTTTCGCGGTACGCTTGGGTTCTACCCCTGAAAAACAAGAAAGCCAGTACGGTGTTAGAAGCTTTTAAAACTATTTTCGACAAACGAAAACCAAACATCATAAGAACGGATCACGGAAAAGAGTTTGCGAATAAGTTATTTCAACAGTATTGTAAATCTGTAGGTGTTACGCACGTCTTAAGTCACAGCACTCATAAAGCTGCATTTGCCGAATCGTTTATAGGGAAGTTTAAAAATATTTTGTACAGATACTTTCATTCCAATCAGACGTTTAAGTTTACCGACGTGTTGGCCGATATCGTTCGTAGTTTTAACGGCAGGGTACATTCGGCACTGTACGGATTATTACCTAAAGAAGTAACGAAAGACAATCCTTACGAGGTCCTACGTAGAAAAGGCCAGCACATAAACGGTAAGAAAGGGCCTCGAACGAAGAGGAAATACAAATTTAAAAATGGCGATCAAGCGTGATTGAGTTATAAATCAGGTCAGTTTCGACGAGGATGGCAGCAGAAATGGACGAAGGAAATATTTGTAGTGACTCACAGATATTATCGAGGAGACATTCCCGTGTATAAAGTCGAAGAGTTCGACGGCGAACCGATACAGGGATCGTTTCACGAATACGAACTACAGAAAGTGCACCGAGACAGAGACACCAAGTGGAAAATCGAACAGATAATGAAAAAGAAGAAGGTAAAAGGGCAAACCCAAGTCCTCGTGAGATGGTTGGGATGGCCTAAGAAATTCGATTCTTGGATTGCCGAGGGGGACATGAAATAGTATATATTGAAGTCGTTAGTTTGAAAGCGAAAAAAAATCATTCCGTCGTCATGCCATACGCGTGTCCGGCATGGTCCAAATCGTACGCATCGAAAATTCTCTGCGGAAACACGTGGCGAGAAAACACTCTTATCTACGTAATCCTAGTCATCACGTCGTCATGCCTCACGCGTGTCCGGCATGTTCCAAATCGTTCACATTGTGAAATTCTCTGTGGAAACACGTAGCGAGAAAACACTCTTCTCTACGTAATCCTGGACTCGAATTACGGCGTTCGCCCGCGCAATTTAGCGAAAATACCTCAGTCGTTTCGTACGACTATAATCTACCGTACGAATTGATGTCTACGCCACTACACTTCTTACCGCCCGCATGCGAGGCCCATTTCTTTCCCTGGAAACATCCGTTCACGTGCATCATCGCGATTCCTACCGGAAGTGGAAACACGGAGTTCGTAAAACGCTTCCTGGCAAACGTCGATCACATGGTGACTCCTAAACCGGACAACGTCGTTTGGTGTTATAGAGAATACCAGACGTTGTACGGGTTCGTAGACGGCGTCAAGTTCGAACAAGGCCTACCGGACTTGAAGAGTTTCGATCCGACTCTCAAACACCTAGTCATCATCGACGATCTGATGATGGAAGCCGACGATTCCGTAGCTTCGCTGTTTACCAAGAAGAGTCATCACGGTAACATAAGCGTCATGTACGTGGTACAGAATCTATTTCACCAGACGAAGTATCACAGAAACATCAGTCTCAACCCCCATTAAATAGTGCTGATGAAACCCTCCAGAGAATCGTCGCAGATAAGACGTCTGTCTCAGCAAATGTTTGCGGGAGGGGGTACGCTATTACACGAAGCATATTCAGCAGCAGCGTCTAAACCTCACGGTTATTTACTCGTCGACTTGAAACAAGACACGCCGAAGAAGTTCAATTACGTTCGTTTGTTTTTCCAGGAGAATATCAAAAGGTGTATTCCGTTTAAACGTTTGAAAAAGAACCGGAAAAGGTATAAATATACTAGTATCGGTCAGTTCTCAGAAATCATCGGAATATTTTTCATGTTAGAATGACGTATGCTACGTCAAACATAGAAAAACACGCAAGAGAATTAGAGTTTTCGCGCTAAACCTAGCGTCAGAAAAGCGGTCGTAGAAAAAGCGGACAGAATTTAATTAATATCATCTGTGAATGCTCAAAAAACATCCTGCTAGGAAACGTACACTGTACGGGGAAACAACGATCGGCTCTTAAACGACATAAATCGGAACTCAGAAAGATCTTAAGAAAAAACCTAGCTATAAGTAAAAAGAAGAAAATCATTCAAAAGGGTGGATTTCTCACGGCTCTTTTAGTCCCGGTGGCGGCTACGTTCTTACCGGGACTCATTTCTAAAGTGGCTTCCATATTTCAATGAGAATCCGTCACGTGGTCATGTCTGGACGCGACCCAAACCGCCCGTCTCGACGTCCGTGATGTCGCTGAACGCCCTGGACGGAGAAATGAATAGGATGTTGGATAGGCTGGATATGGCGGACAGCCAGAAAGCGACGTTATACGATCAGCAACTTAGGAAATACGTCGATCGCTATAGATAATTCTTAGATAGGGACAGTACTACGAAGGCCCTGGCGCCTACCGAGGCCCCCGAGCCTCGGGTAGAATCAGCAAACGAAGTCGACCACATAGAACTCTAAAACTAAACTGTTGTTGGGAAGATTTAAAGACGTCATTCAATGGAACGACCGCGGCGAATTCGAATACAAAGGAAGCTCCGTGATTCCTGGATCGAATCTGGTGGATTTAGTCGGTAATGCCGCACGTCTGACCTCACTCAAACACGTGGCTTCCAAGGGTCTCGACGAATTCATGGGTACACTCAAACGCTCGAATGCACCCCAAAGTTGGATAAGCAATAAGACATACACCTCAAGAATGCAAAGACTGTCGTCCGCCACGCCGACTAGGAGAACCGCTAGAACTCCCGAGCGCACGCCCGAGTTACGTAATATACCCGAAACGTGGAGCAAAGACGAAGACGAAGACGAACAGCGGTTTTATCTCCTCGTTCCACACTCCGTCTACAGTGCAAAAACAACGAAGGTGGTCGCCTTATTAGTCAAGCGAGTCACCAAAACATCTATAAATGGGAACTCGCTTTCGTGGTTACTTACAAGAAATGTCGGAATCAGGCAGCGACGCTAGGTGGTCCGTGTTTGGCAAAAGAATACCAAAAGGAGAGATATTGTTTTTTTTCGTTCAAGTCTTCGTAGTGTTCACGGTAGGCGTAAGTTGTATAATCAACTTATCGTTTTCAAACGGACACACGGAGTTGTGGATCACTCTACTGAGCAGCAGTCTAGGTTACGTAATTCCAAATCCGTCCGTCAAACGCAGTCATAGATCACAAAGTTAGGCTTGACATTACCTAAGGCATGCACGTATACCTCACTCGGGCTTTAAGCGAAATGCTCGGTTTTAGAAACCAAGAATTCGCGGACGGAATGCACACGGCGGAATTCAATGGTGACGTTCGAAGAGGATTTTATTCTCTGTTCGCTTACTGTCCTCTCGTCGAATCGAGAATGGTCGGAGATACGAGAGCTCCACTACTACGCATCGTTCCGATAGAAGGAAAACCTGGCGACACGGTGTGTAAAGTATTCGATCCCGTACACTACGTACCTTTGCAACAGCGTCAATTTCAAGAAGTGAATCTCACGCTGAGAGACGACACGGGCGCACCCGTACCGTTCGAGACCGGCAAAGTAATGATGACGCTACATTTCAAAAGAAGACCCTCAGACTTTCCCTAAAGATGTTATATATACGATTTGAAACGACGGTAATCAACATTTCAAAAACTTTCAAGATGAGACATCCTCCATACAGAAGCGATCCTTACGTGTTCGATCGGTATTATCTCGATCAAGCCGGAAGCGGAAACAACGTTTTCGCCGGAAAATCGAATGCAGAGTGGTCACGGTCTTGGTTTGAAAACGGGTATGGAAATAGCAGGCGACGTCATAGACGGCAAGAATATCAAAACTGCAGCGTTGTCTAGGGCTCGCAACGCCGGAAGTGAATTGAGAAAGCGGGCGTTAGACAACGTTAGAGAAGGTCCGCCGGGACGACGTCGAAAATTAAAACGTAACAAAAAGAGAAGAGTCGACTATTTATATGATTAGGGGCAGAAAAGTGTATAAATAGAAATTATATGTAGCGATTTTCCGTTCGTCCGCGATTAAACTTCTCAGGGCATAAGTCATGTCGTTGTTCATCCGAATTCGTGCGAGCGCGCGAAATTCGAATTGGATCTGTTTGACGTACCTCCCAACCAGACGAGTGTCGAAGACGGCTACTGGCAACAGATCGGTACGGTGACGTCAGTCAACGACGGATGTCCGTACACGTTTAAGATATCTGGATCCGGAGAAGATTACCTAGACCTGGAGAACACAAACCTATTCGTGAAAGTCAAGTTGGTAAAGAAAGCCGACGGTATCGCCCTAGAAGATGATTCGAACGTAGCTCCGACGAATTTATTCTTGCATTCGCTGTTCAATAACGTGAGCGTCAGTCTAAACGAAAGGCTGGTGTCTCCGCCCGACAATGCCTATCCGTACAGAGCGTACATCGAAACCCTGTTAAGTTACGGGCCCGCAGCAAAAGACTCTCAACTGACAGGCGCCATGTGGTACAAAGACACCGCAGGTGAAATGGACACTCAGGGCGAGGAAAACTTGGGATACGTCGCGAGGAAAGCGATGACGGCAAGAAGTCGCACCGTCGATTTGATGGGGAAAATCCATGCACAAGAACGGTACTTAGTCAACAACGTCGACGTGGAAATAAACATGTCACGCAGTAAGGACGTGTTCTGTCTCAATGTAGCGGGCGATACGTTTAAAGCAGTCGTGCAAGATATCTGTCTGTAAGCAAGGAAAGTGCGTTTGAATCCGACCGTTCGCAAGAGCTATGGAAATAACTCCCGGCAAGTATCCGATACGGAGAATAGAAATGAAAGTGACGTCCGTGCCTCGAGGTAACATGGACTTTACCAAGGACAACCTGTTCATAGGACAGATGCCCAAGAGGATCGTCCTGGGTATGGTCGACACGGACGCGTTTAACGGTACCGCCAACAAAAATCCTTTCAATTTCAAACACCACAAGGTCGATTTCGTTAGTCTGAATGTGGACAGTAAACAAATTCCCGCCAAGCCATTACAGCCGGACTTCACGAACGGTCATTACGTACGTAGCTATATGAATCTCTATACTAGCACGGGTAAAATTTACCACGACGAGGGAAACAACGTGTCTCGAGAGGACACCAGGTTAATTGAGGCTTTGCTCAGGCCATAGGCCTCCTGCTTCCCGACCAACAAGTTATGAGGAAGACAGTCAAAAGCCTTGGATAGGTCCATCAGTATGGCAGCGACATACTCATGGTTGTGCAGGGCTCTACGCCAATCCTCAACAAGTCGCAACAGGATGGATTGACACCCAAATCCTGGTCGGAAGGCTGCAAGGAAAGGATGAAAAACATTACTAAAAAAAGCAGTCAGTTGATCACACATGGTTCTTTCAAAAAAAATCGATATACAAGGTATAATGCTGACTAGTAGGTAGTTTTGTTTATCTAAAATCAGGAACTAACTGTGCCTCCTTGAGTCTTCAAGGGAACACTGATCTATCAAAACAGTGGTAAATCATGTCGCTCAGAGGCACACTGAAGTCAGGGGAACTCTGATCTATCAAAACAGTGGTAAATCATGTCGCTCAGTGGCACACTGATGTCAAGGGAACTCTGATCTATCAAAACGGTGGTAAATCATGTCGCTCAGTGGCACACTGATGTCAGTACAACCGGCTCTAAGGAGTTTTGATGATATGCCATCGATACCAGTGGCCTTATTCGCCTTCACCTTAGATATAGCCTTTCAACCACGAAAGGAGAGACATGATTAAAACAAAACTTTGACTGATCATTATTGTGTGCCCTTATCTCTTTTAATATAGTTTCATCAGAAGAATCTTCTGTACCAATATCAGAAGCAAAATTTACATAAAAATTATTAAAAACATTGCCGACCTCTGTTTGATCACTGATAATGGCCTCATTTTCCTTTAAAATTACATTATTGCATTGTGCAGAACCCTTATTTGATAAAATTAGTTTAATGGTGGGCCAGAAATCTGTTGATTTGGGACCACCTGCACAGCGTTCGAAAAAATAGTTGCGCATAGATTGTTTACGTAATTTACACATACTTTCTATGGTTACGATATGCCTCCCAATTAGAGGCTGATTTGCAAACAGAATATTTGTAAAAAAGCATACGTTTCTTATACACAGCTTTACGCAAGTTTAAATTAAAAAATGGACACCTTTTCTGTTTTACTACTTTTTCTTTTACAGGAGCATGTTCATCAATAATGTCAGTGATAAGTTTTTCATGGGCCCAATAAATATCAACAACATCATCAAAAGCGATTTTACTAATATCATCACTGAAAGTTTTTTCATCAACATTTTTAAATTATCTATATTTCCTCTTTTCTTTCATAACTGGTTTACATTTCCCTTTAAAAACAGTCCCAATCATATGATGCCAGTCACTAAGACCACTGTTAAATGCAAACGTATTAAATAAAAAAAGATATACTGTTGCTTAAAATGACATCAACAGATGAGGGCTGCGAGTTTTTCATAAAACATGTTGGAGATTTAATTGTGTTTTTCATATCAAAGATGTCACAAATATTGGATAATATATTGTCATTTACGTTCATGTCAACATTTAAATCTCCAGGGAGGTGGGACTTGATAAAACACATGAGACCACCACCATGTCCAGTTCTATCTTTCCTAAAGCCCATGAAACTTGTTGTTTCAAAAAGGGCCCGATTGAACGAGTCGTTTAGTTTCGTCTCACCTACGATAAAGATGTAAGCTAGGCAATTATGTAACGCATCACTGAGTGCACTGAATTTGTAACGCAAACGGGTGGAGAGGTGGGGCTGGTAAATGTGTACGGATGGAGAAGTGGTGCGTATGACTTTGGCAGTGTGGAGTGGTGGTGCTGGTTACTGCCGCTGGGTGGGGAGGTGGGGCTGGTTAATTTGGCTGGATGGTAACTGGGGCTGGTGACTTTGGCCGGGTATTGAGGTGGGGCTAGTGACTTTGGCTTGTTGAAGAGCTTGTGCTGGTGGCTTTGGCTTTGTCGCGAGGTGGGGATGGTGACTTTTGCTGGGTGGAGAGGATGGGCTGGTGACGTTGGCTTGGTGGAGAGGCGAGGCTTGTTAATGTGAACGAGTGAAGTGGTGCTCATGAATTTTGCAGTGTGGAGTGGTGGTGCTGGTGACTTTCGCTAGGTAGAGAGGTGGAGCTGGTATATGTGGCTAGGCGGCGAGGTAGGGCTGGTGACTTTGACTTGGTGGAGAGGACAGGCTGGTGACTTTGGCTTGGTGGAGAGGTGAGGCTTGTCAATTTGAACGGGTGAAGTGGTGCTCATGGCTTTTGTAGTGTGGAGTGGTGGTGCTGGTTTATGTGGCTAGGTGGTGAGGTGGGGCTGGTGACTGTGGCTGGGAAAAGAGGTGGAGCTGGTGACTTTGGCTTGGTGGACAGGTTTGTTGAGCTGGTGACGTTGGCATGATGGTGAACTGGGGCTGGTGACTGTTGCCTGGTACCATTGAGGGTCTGGTGACTTTGGCTAGGTGGCGAGGTGGGGCTGGCGACTTTGGCTTGTTGACGAGCTTGTGCTGGGACTTTGGCTATGTGGCGAGCTGGGGATGGTGATTGTTGCTGGGTGGAGAGATGGGGCCGATGACTTTGGCTGGGTGGAGAGGAGGGGCTTGTGACTTTGGCTTGGTGATGAGGTGGGGCTGGTGACTTTGGGTGGGTGGAGAGGTGGGACTGGTGACTTTTGCTTGTTGACGAGCTTGTGCTGGGGACTTTGGCTATGTGGCGTGCTGGGGATGGTGAGTTTAACTGGGTAATGAGGTGTGGCTGGTGACTATGGCTGGATGTTGAGGTGGGATGGTTAATGTGGCTGGATGGTGAGGTACGGTTTATGACTACGGCTTGTTCGTGAGATGGGGCTGATGGCGTTGGCTTTGAAGAAAGGGGGAGCTTGTGACTTTGGCTGGATGGTGAACTGGGACTGATGGTGTTGGCTTTGTGGAGCGTTCGGGCTGGTTAATAGGGCTGGGTGGTGAGGGACGGTTTATGACTACGGCTTTTTTGTGGGGTGGGGCTGGTGACTGTCGCTGGGCGGCGAGGTGGTGCTGGTTACTTTCGCTTGGTGGAGGGGGGGCTGGTGACTTTGGCTGGATGGTGAACTGTGACTGATGGTTTTGGCTTTGTCGAGCGGTCGGGCTGGTTAATATGGCTGGGTCGTGAGGTGTTGGGTGGTGAGGTTTGCCTGGTGACTGTCATTGGTTGGGGAGGTGGTGCTGTTGACTGTCGCTGGGTGGCGAGGTGGTTCTGGTGACTTTCGCTTGGTGGGGGGGGTGCTGGTGACTGTCGCTGGGTGGGGGGGGGGGGCTGGTTTATGTGGCTAGGGGGGGAGGTGGGGCTGGTTAATTTGGCTGGATGGGAACTGGGGCTGGTGACTGTTGCCTGGTACCATTGAGGGGCTGGGGACTTTGGCTAGGTGGCGAGGTGGGGCTGGCGACTTTGGCTTGTTGACGAGCTTGTGCTGGATGGAGAAGTGGTGCGTATGACTTTGGCAGTGTGGAGTGGTGGTGCTGGTTACTTTCGCTTGGTGGGGGGGGGTGCTGGTGACTGTCGCTGGGTGGCGAGGTGGTTCTGGTGACTTTCGCTTGGTGGAGGGGGTGCTGGTGACTGTCGCTGGGCGGCGAGGTGGTGCTGGGGACTTTCGCTTGGTGGAGGGGGTGCTGGTGACTGGCGCTGGGTGGAGTGGGGGGGCTGGTTTATGTGGCAAGGGGGTGAGGTGGGGCTGGTGATTGTGGCTGGGAAAAGAGGGGGAGCTGGTGACTTTGGCTAGGTGGCGAGGTGGGGCTGGTGATTGTGGCTGGGGAAAGAGGGGGAGCTGGTGACTTTGACTTGGTGGACAGGTTTGTTGAGCTGGTGACGTTGGCATGATGGTGAACTGGGGCTTGTGACTGTTGCCTGGTACCATTGAGGGTCTGGTGACTTTGGCTAGGTGGCGAGGTGGGGCTGGAGACTTTGGCTTGTTGACGAGCTTGTGCTGGGACTTTGGCTAGGTGGCTAGCTGGGGATGGTGATTGTTGCTGGGGGGAGAGGGGGCCGATGACTTTGGTTATGTGGCGAGCTGGGGATGGTGAGTTTAAGGGGGTGATGAGCTGTGGCTGGGGACTATGGCTGGATGTTGGGGGGGGATGGGTAATGTGGCTGGGTGGGGAGGTACAGTTTATGACTACGGCTTTTTCGTGAGATGGGGCTGATGGCGTTTGCTTTGAAGAAAGGGGGAGCTGGTGACTTTGGCTGGATGGTGAACTGTGACTGATGGTTTTGGCTGTGTGGAGCGGTCGGGCTGGTTAATATGGCTGGGTGGTGAGGTGTTGGATGGTGAGGTTTGGCTGGTGACTGTCACTGGGTAGTGAGGTGGTGCTGTTGACTGTCGCTGGGTGGCGAGGTGGTGCTGGTGACTTTCGCTTGGTGGAGGGGGTGCTGGTGACTGTCGCTGGGTGGAGAGGTGTTGCTGGTGACTGTCGCTCGGTGGGAAGGTGGTGCTGGTGTCTGTCGCTGGGTGGGAAGGTGGTGCTGGTGTCTGTCGCTGGGTGGGGAGGTGGTGCTGGTGACTGTCGCTGGCTGGGAAGGTGGGGCTGGTGACTGTCGCCGGGTGGAGAGGTGGGGATGGTGACTGTCGCTGGGTGGGGAGGGGCTGGGTGG